ACACCACGTCCCTTCTCGCTCTCCAGGGCTTACAGTGCTCCCTCTTGAAGCCTCAGCCCTCCGGCAGATCACTGTAGAGCCCTGCCCTTCTGGAGCATGAAATTCCCATTGGATCAGCTGTCCACATGCTGTTCCAGGCAGTCATCTGGTTCAAGACCAAGTCTTGCGCCACTTTCCCAGTGGCTGGTAGGGGAACCTGGGCCCGTCCACTATTCCAGTGTCCAGCCCAGGGACCCTATGTCCAGCAACAGTGGCTTGCTCCCAGACCTTGTTGCTATTTCCCTGGAGTCCTTCCTACGTCCCTTCTCTATCTTCTGCCCTCTCCCCCTGGGTTTAACAGCCCAAACTCCCTCCTCCCAGCGAGTAACTGTAGACTACTTCCCCTGCAGCCCTCTTCTGTTCTCAGCTTCCATCCCTTTACACAGACCCAACCTGCTCCTTCCCAGGCGAACGTCATCTTCCATTAGGCTTTATTGCTCTCTGACTGATGCAGCATACAAGGTTAATTGACATAATTTAACCTGCTTTGCCTCGAGTGGGGGTGGACACCCCATCACAGGGGCTCAGCTTTGAAAAGTTTGGGAGACACTGCCTTAGGCCATGTACGCTACGAAGTTTGATTGACAGAAGCTACATCTACATGCAGCTGGTGCAATCACTTGTGGGACATGTTCAAAGTGCTGTGTGGCATAACAGCAGTTCACCCAGGGATTTCTGGGAACTAGGGGTCAAATTCCTACAATGCCACCTTCTCCATCCTATCATGCTCATTCCATCTCATAATTCTTGTGCCATTTAACAAACTTCCACAGTCCTGTGCGCTGCTTTTCGGTCTCTCCACCATGTCTCTGGCAGAAGCATGGACCCTGCAGACCTCAGCACAATTCTAATGACTGTTGCTAATACAGGACACACAATTGTACAATATTTGTGGAACCTCGGTGAGTATTACTACAATCAGTTGTATGAGGAGGAAGAAGAGAAGATGTTCGACGACAATGACTGAATGCTGCTGGACACGGCAAATAAAAATACCAGGTTGCTGCTGGCATTCATGAAGCAGCTCCACATAGTGTCTTCTGGGCCCAAGACATGAACACTGTGTGGTGAGATGGCACAGTAATTCTGGTCTGAGACAACGAGCAAGCAGTGGCTGAAGAGATTTTGGATGCAAAAGGCCACATTTCTGGACCTGTGTACTGAGCTTGCCCCAACAGTCCAGTGCAGAGACACCAGAGTGAGAGCTGCCCTGACAGTGGAGAAGCAAGTGGCAATTGCATTCTGGAAGCTTGTAACACCAGCTTAGTACCTGTCACTGGCCATTCAGTTTGGAGGTAAAAAATCTACAGTGGGGACCATTGTTATTCAGGTGCACAAGCCATTATTTGTCTCCTGTTGCACATGACTGTGACTCTTGGCAATGTGCAGGAATCAGTGGATGGATTTGCAACAGTGGGGATCCTGAGCTGCAATGGGTTGAGAGATGGGACACATCTCCCTATTCTGGCACTACCCCCACCTTGCCAATGAGTCCATAACCGTGGTTATGGAAATGCTGGGGGATCTACTGTGGGCTGGTCAGGGGAGGAGCAGGATGTTCACATCTTTAAGAACATAGGACTTTTCCAAAAGCTGAAAACAGGGACATTCTTCCCTGATCAGCACATTCCTATTGGCAATGTTGAAATGTCAAAAGTTGTTATGGCAGACCCAGCCTACCCTTGGCTCATGAAGCCATACACTGGCCGCCTTGACAGCACCCAGGAAAGATTCAGCTACCGGCTCACCAAGTGCAAGACGACTGTTGAATGTGCTTTTGATAGATTCAAAGGTCACTGGCAATGTTTACTGACTAGATTGGATCTCAGTGAGGCAAATATTCCTGTTGTTAGAGCTGTGTGTTATGTACTACAGAATATCTGTGAGGTAAAGTGGGAAAGGCTACCAGCAGGGGGGAGGTTTGAAGTGGACTGACTATTTGCTGAATTTGAACAGCCAGACACAAGGACTATCAGAAGAGTCAACTGTAGAACTATAGAGGTCTTTTAACAGTCAGCCAGAGCAGTGCTGTGTGATGCTTTTATTAACTAGTGAGCCTTGGTGTGTACAGAGCTTAAATATGGGTGGGTTATTGACTCCTGTTACAAATTTTGTAAAGTGGTATTTATGCTTGGTGTGAACTAATAAACAAATTCCGAGTTTCCAAAAATATAACTTTATTGTGTGCCAAGAAATGGGAGCCAACATGAAAGAGCAAATATACAAGTTAAACACATTTTAGCACCACTGTAAGAGGGTGACCCATACTTGTAAAACCCAAGGAAAGGATAAACATGCATATTAAAAACATATGACAAAGGTTCATTCACGTTGCAACACAAGTAGTGCACTGTGCCCGGGGCTGACCCTGCAGTTATCACTAGTCACTCGAGGTGTAGTTAGGGTTCTCCTGTTTTCCCCAGGTGCGCAGTGGCCACAAGGGTAAGGGTTCATGCCATGCTGCCACCTGGTACGTTGGGGGTTACAGGGAGCAGTGACCAGAGGGTCTCCCAGGAACTGTAAAAGCTGCTGTTCCAGGAGTATTTGTGCATGAAGCTCGATAATGTTCTGCAACTGCTACGTTTGTTGCTGACCAAAGCCGTAATGTCCTGCTGCACCTCTCTGTCCTTTTGCCTCTCCTCCCACAACAGATTTCTCCATTCCTAGTCCTGCTCCTTGTTCTCAGCCACTTGCCCCCCTCTAATCCCTGCGTTCACTGTCAGCAGCTGCAGACGACTGAAGGATCTCGCAGAATGTATCCTTTCTGGTCTGCTTCTTTCTGCTCCTGACCAGGTCACACATTCAGCAGGCGTGGAGGGGACATCGTCAAAGGCTACCATGCCAAAAGCTGCTGATTAAAACAGACAGATACAGCATTAAATTTACAGTCACAACGGAAAGGAAAAGATAAGTCTCAACATTCCCTTGCATTATTTCTATAAACACCTTTCATAAGAAGTGGTAATTGTCACTTTAGCTTTGGAGCACCACTCTGCAGCGCAAGCCATGGTGAGTACGCCCTAGTGGGGGACTGGGGCCAGGGGGGGAAGGTCTGTTGCATGGAAGGATTAACTGCTGGGTGCCTCTGGGTGTGAGTATAAGGAAAGTGCAGCGAATATTGCCAATATTTTCACAGGCAGCAGTGCTTTGGGCTGATGTCTCACTCCTGAGGGGGACCAAGTCACAGAGAACCCAGCTGCTACTGATGTTCCAAAGCTGGCCAGGACCGTGTGCTGCTAACCTGTTTACTACAATGGTGTCAGCACAAGTAGTCGCAGAATGGCATGGGAAAATCTCCTATCGCAGGGAAAGAAACAAGGCCTCCCTCCCTAGAAATGTTCAGGAAAGGATTACAGATTATATCCTTGAAAGTTTCAGAGAGATTGCTCAACAGGATAAAAGGGACATCCCTGGTCACATAAACAAAGTACTCCACTTGGCCCCCGCCTAGCCGAACAAGCCAAAAAATGGAAGAGCTGATGTTGCCTCCACCTCTTTCTTCTCCCTCTGTCCGAGCACAGGACACTGATCTTATGTGGACTGTGTAATGCAGACGGCCAGAATAATCTGTATGAATTTATTTTCTAACATTTCACAAGGAAAGTGAGCAATCAAGTCAATGCCTTTGTTCTCTAAACATGCAGAGGGGATGGGTGCCATTCTTAAGTGGGGAAGAAGGGGCAGGGAGGGAGAGAGGGAAGACTTGGGGCAATGAATAGGTAAAAAAACACTTATAAGGAAGAATGCCTGTATACACTTACCTGAGCTCCCTTCCCCTTCATCAGCAGGTTCATCTGCACTTGGCTCTGGCAGAGGTTCAAACAGCTCCTGGCTGGCTTCATGGTTTGTGTCTCCCACCGTTTCCCCCACACCCCCATCCACTTCTTCCTCCTCACTGTGCAGTTGCAGGGGTCTCCTGGTCAAGTTCTCACTAAGTGTCCACAGTCCGACGTGGGGTGCTAGTGGGGTACCTGCCACGTATGGCATGTAGTTCACTGGAGAAGTGGCAGATCTGCCAAGTTTCTTTGCTTTCGCCCCCTGCTGCTGTCCATCTCTGTCCTACCCCAGTTTCAGCATCCCCTGTGCAAGCTGCACGTAGATATCTATATTTCTTTGGCTGATCCTTAGCTTCTCCCCACAGGATGAGGAGATCCAAGAGTTCTCACCTGCTCCAGGCAGGAGCACATCTAGTAGCATGTGTGTGGAGCTGGCATGGTTAGTTGCTTGCCAAGGTGGGCTAGTAGTTGTGTCAGGGCTTAAATTCAGCTGGAGCTCGGTAAATATTTTCACCCCCCTGGAGTTTTAATAGCATGGGGGGGACCCTCTGGGGACTACTCTATGAGAATTTAAGCTCTGGTTGTGCTCGTCAAAGTGGGCCCTCAGGAAAAGACATTTTAAAAACAGGCTGGGGGAGGGGGAGAATAGAAAAGGGGGAGAGGTGGACTTCCAATGTCTGTGACCCCTGGCCAGTGAAGTTCAAAATTGTGACTGAAGCAACTACTCTTGCAGGGACAGAGGCATTGTGGGAGAGCTGCTGGAGGTCTATGTGGGTTGATGCAGGTAATGCAGTGTCTACACTTGCCCTGTGTCGATGGAAGTAGGTTGACTATGGCTCTGCATTGTTCAGGGAGGTGGTGTTATTGCGTCACTGTAATGGGGTACTTGTACCGGTGAGAGACAAATTTAGGTGCAGACACATGCAAAAACTAGGTCAAACAAGTCTGCTTAGGTCCACCTAACTCTGTAGTGTAGACCAGGCCCTAGTCTGTGTCTTTCTGACCAAGGAATCTGAGCTGACCCAGCTGCAGAGACCCATTTATCATTCCCTCTTCTCAGTGGCTAAGATTGTTACATTGTCTCAGCAGGTTCTGGCCAAGATTTCCAGACAACAATCTAAAGCAGTGGTTCTAAACTTGCAGCCTGCCGATGGCCCAGTCAGCACACAGCTGCGGCCCATGTGACATCCTCCCGGCCATACAGGTAGTATATATATTGTGTGGATGCGGCCCAAATAACACGTACACAGCTGTGTATGCGGTCCACAATGGTAAATAGGTTGAGAACCACAGGTCTAAAGACACAGGGTTGTAGCAAAATAAGACAAGAAAAGAGAGTGGGTAGGTTATAGGGAGACAAATGGTCTGCTTCATCCATCTAGCCTGGAACCCTTTGGCTGGGTGCCACTTGGAGAGTTTCTGTATAGCACATCCTCTTGTCCTGTTCTCCTCTGACCCTATTCCAGGCAGCATGTCAGAGAAGTGGCTTTTTGTCTCCATGTAGCACTCCTTCAAAACTTGACGCCCAGCACTGTTCTATATCGCAGGTTAGTTCAGAGTGCTTGGAACCCCTAAGACTAGTCCCCTCCCTACTCACCTAGGTGTTCCTATCAGCGTGGGTAGATGAACAGAAATGGCCTTTTGGGTGCATTCACTGTCGTTCACTGGTTTATCCCTCCCACTGTAGTCAGAGCAATGAGGTGGCCGTAGGCTGCGTTTCAAGACTCCAACACAGGGCACCTCTCTAGCTTAGGAAAAAGGAAAGGCAGCATGAGGGATCTTATGGGTAGGTTGGCTACAGGCCAGTGGGCTTTGCTAAGGCACCTCAGAGCTCAGAGGATACTGAGGGAGGTGATGCAAAGAGAAAGCAGATACAGTTGTTCTCAGGCACTCAAGGGAGAAGCCCATTTGAGGGTTAAAGATTGTGCAGTGAGAGTAAATAACTTACTAAGTCATGTGACCAGGAACATCCCTTGCAGAAAACCTGCTGTACTCGGCTGGAGGGCTGAAAAACTTTAAAGAGCCGAGAAGCCTCTTTGGAGCTGAGAGTTGTTCGCTTGTAGCAGGCAGGGAGTCGAGATGAATTTCCTTCCAAGTTTATCCCTCGAAACCTGGATTTTACTCATTGCCTTTGTGAGCCTCTTGATGCTGTAAGTAGCACCCCTCCTCTAACTGGCCACGGGACAGGGGATTTTTCCTTGTTGTTCTGCCAGCACTTGCAAGGCCTTTGGGAGAATTTAGGGGAGGAGCAGACCAGGGAATTGATGGACATTCAGCTAGAGAAGAGGGACTGGCCTTCCTAACAGGAAAGTGCATGGCCTTCACTGGACTTCAGGGAACTCCTTATGGGTAGAGAAAAGAGAAATAGGGGGAGAGGATAATACACAGAGGAGGGGGGAACGCCTTTTGCCAAAGAAACTCAGCAGAAGACACTCTGGTTTGCATCTTGTTTACTGTGAAGCAGAGCTGGTCCTTTCGGTTCCACAATCCTGTGGGCACAGCACCTCCCCCCTTCAGCTCCCCAGTTCGGGTTCGCTATAAATACAAAGACAGAACCTGGCTTTCGGTTTAGAAAAAGAGAACGTCTCTCACTCGTTCCACAGGGACCCTTAAGGTAGGTCTGCGCTACAATGCAAGCAGCGCAGATACTTGCAACAGCAACAGAAGGGGCTTTTCCATCCATCAGTGAATCCACCCGTTTGAAAGGTGGTGGCTGAAGAATTTTTTCTTCAGTCTACCTTCGGCTTAAGTTGGCTTAACTACGTCTCTCAGGGGGTGTGACTTTTTCACACCCCTGGGCGACAAAGCTAGGTCGACCTACGTTGTAGGTGTAGACCAGACCTTAGAAATGTACCTAATGCACTAGTGGCTTGCAAGCTCCCTGATAGCCATAGGTCAGCAGGCAGCATGACCTCTAATTGCAAAGGGGGGCAGCCCAAAAATATGAGAGGCAGTGAGGTCTAATGGCAAGGGACCAATCCCAGGTTGGATACTGGCTCTCTGGGGCTTCGGTCAAGACACACAGGCCAAAGTGCTCAGGCTAAAGCTATGTCTACACTGTTATTAGACACCCGCGGCTGGCCTGTGACAGCTGGCTCGGGCTAAGGGACTGTTTAATTGCGGTATAGATGTTTCAGCACAGACTGGAGCTCAGGCTCTAGGATCCTGTGAGGTGAGAGGGTCCCAGAGCTCGGGCTGCAGCCTGAGCCCAAATGTCTACACCGCAGTTCAACAGCCCCTTACCCCAAGCCTGGCGAGCCCGAGTCAGCTGGCACTGGCCAGCTGTGGATTTTTAATTGCAGTGTAGACTAAAGTAGGTCCCCCAGAACGGAGAGGGGAAGGTTTACGTGGCTAACCTTACAGCCCTGTTTGTAAGTGCTGGCCTCCCCTCCAGGACTGAGGCCTGGAGCTCCTCTGGCTTCTCTCCTGGCTCTGTTGTTGTGGCAAAAGATGGTGTTTCCAAAACAGCAACAACCACCTGTTATACTGTATTGAAATAAAATCTAAATGCTTCTTGCAAATGAAGCAATGCCCCATTCAGGTCTTTCATGCTGCTTCACTGAGCTAAGGTAGCAAAAGCCCAGGGAACAGGGCACATCCACTCTGCAGGGTCTCGTGCCCATCAGCAGGGTACATCTGGGACCTTTCCAGCTAACCCTTATCCAGCAAGAAGGTGTCATGTCCCCGCACCAGGCACATCGGGGCAGGTTTCCAAATCCTCTGTACCTGCTGGGGATTCCCATGCTGCACCCTTTACACATTGGCAATGGAACACACTTTGTGCCCTTATAAAAAAAATTATAAGGGTAACAGCTCCAAACTGCAGAGCCCTGCTGAAACTGCTATGCTTTGGGCAGTGACTGTATGCTGCTTTGTCAGAGCATTCTGACCTGCATTTTAAACACCCACGCTACTTTCATGTAGGAGGCCACATGGAGTAACATGGCAAGGAAGCTAAGGCAGACTATTGGGACCATCTGGAAGCTGACTCCTTGCTGAGCACTGCAGGGGACAGTATCTGTGACACAGAGAGCTGGTGCAAGGCCCTCCACACTGTTCAACTCTTGCATAGGGTAAGCACTTAGGGGCTGCAAGCTGATCTCTGAACAGCTGATAGCCATGGTAAGAGCCTCTGCGCTGGCCCCTTATAGTACCAGTCAGAAAGCCATGCATGGGCTGCTTTACGCTGATCCCGTGGCTACTGTATTCTGCATGACTAGCGCTGAAGGGCTGTGGAATGCTGCCACATTCCAGCCCATAGACAGGAACAGCAGCTGCCCCTCACCCTAGCACTGGACTAGGGGGTGGGTTTCCTCTCCCCTCACTCCGTGCATGGAGTGTGATCATCTGGGCTTTAGTTGGGTGGAGAGGATTTTGCCATATGGAGAACGGCGCAAGAAGGTAAATGCAACTTTAACACGCTTATACCCTTCTCACTAGACAGAGAAAAAGACAACTAGACAAAGCCCTGCTCCTTCGTACATGCGTTCTCTCTCCATTATTTCAGCAGTACCTAAGTGACAGTGACAGCTGTTTAAACCATCAACACGAAGGCCATTCACGTATAAATGACCTGTCGTTCATGTATTTGATCTCTGTTTGCTCCGCAGTTATGGGATCTGGCCATACAGATTCTTTAAGAAGCTGGGTATTCCTGGGCCAAGGCCTCTGCCTTTCATCGGAACATTTCACGAATACCGGAATGTGAGTGGTGGGAGTTTATGCTATCTGCCCATTCAGAGGATAATGGCTCTTAACTAACCTGTGGTCGTAGGGTGGGGGGTGTCTCTGCCTTGCTCCTGTGGGAAGGTTTAATAGGAGGTCTATGCCTGGTGTCTATAGGAAACTCAGGGCATTTCTTCATGGGGATCTTCAGGAAAGTTAAGCTGAATTAACTCAAGGCATGAATCTGAAGTTCCTTAAAGGCCACTTTACTTCTGAATGAAGAACATCAACAGAAGGGTTTAATGTGTTTTAAATAATGCACTTTAAAGTCACCCCTTTAGTTAATTCATCTTTCCTGAGTGTTCCCGTGTAGATGTTCCCTTAGAGAAAATTGTACCCCAACCATGGGAGCAACTTGGCTTCAGAACTTTAGGAGAGGGGAACTGATGTCAAGTCTGTATTGTGGTTCCTAATTCACCATTGCTAAACCCTGGTCTATAGTAATAGTTAGGTCAACATAGTTACACCAGTCAGGGGTGTGAAAAATCCACACCCCTGACTGACATAGTTACACCAGCCTAACCACCCGTGTAGATGCATTTTTGTCCAAGGAAGAATGCTTCAGTCATTGTAGCTACCATTGTTCTGGGAGGTGGTGGTGTTGCCCCAAGAGAAAAAGCCCTCCCGTCGGTATAAGCTGCATCTATGCGACGGCATTATAGATAGTTAGGCCCTCTCCAACGCATCATCAAGCATCTACAACCTATCCTGAAGGATGACCCATCACTCTCACAGATCTTGGGAGACAGGCCAGTCCTTGCTTACAGACAGCCCCCCAAACTGAAGCAAATACTCACCAGCAACCACACACCACACAACAAAAAACATTAACCTAGGAACCTATCCTTGCAACAAACTGTGTCTGTTGCCAACTGTGTCCACAGATCTATTCAGGGGACACCATCATAGAGCCTAATCACATCAGCCACACAATCAGATGCTCGTTCACCTGCGCATCTACCAATGTGATATATGCCATCATGTGCCAGCAATGCCCCTCTGCCATGTACATTGGCTAAACTGGACAGACTCTACGTAAAAGAATAAATGGACACAAATCAGACGTCAAGAATTATAACATTAAAAAACCAGTCAGAGAACACATCAGTCTCTTTGGTCACCCGATTACAGACCTAAAAGTGGCAATTCTTCAACAGAAAAAACTTCAAAAACAGACTCCAATGAGAGACTGCTGAACTGAAATTAATTTGCAAACTGGATACAATTAACTTAGGCTTGAATAAAGACTGGGAGTGGCTGTGTCATTACACAAAGTAAAACTATTTCTGCTTGTTTATTTCCCCTGCTACTGTTCTTGTCAACTGCTGGAAATGGCCCACCTTGATTATCACTACAAAAGGTCCCGTTCCCCCGCCGCCCAGGCTCTCCTGCTGGTAATAGCTCACCTTTCCTGATCACTCTTGTTACAGTGTGTATGGTAACACCCATTGTTTCATGTTCTCTGTGTATATAAAATCTCCCCACTGTATTGTCCACTGTATGCATCTGATGAAGTGAGCTGTAGCTCATGAAAGCTTATGCTCAAATAAATTGGTTAGTCTCTAAGGTGCCACAAGTACTCCTTTTCTTTTTGCGGATACAGACTAACACGGCTGCTGCTCTGAAACCAAACATTACATTGAATCTTTTGATAATTACACTTTACACCTAAGGGCAGGAGAGATGTTCTCTTCAGAGAAAGATACACGGTATGCCACAGGAAATGGCTTGTCCCTAAAATGCCCCTAAAAATAAAGCATTGACAATTTTTTCATGTGGTTTTCCCTTATTTCCATCCAACAAAGATGGTCACCCTAAGTGTAGGTGATGCCTTTAGGTTGGATTCACACTTACGGGTTGTCTTCCCTGCAGAATAAAAGGTGTGTTAGCTAACTCAAGTTAAGAACACACCCTGTTTTTGGCAGTGAAGACGTATCTGCTCCTCAGGGCAGCCCACCTTTCCCTTCTGCCCACCTGACCCATCTCTGCCATTTATTTCTGGTTTGCTGCGGAGAAATGTATTCCAATGAAACCCAAGCTGCGGCCCTCCTTTGCTCACTGTTTACCTGCAGACATCTAACCTCTGTCTCTCTCTCTGGCAGGGAATTCTGGATTTCGACAAGAAGTGTTTCCAGAAATATGGTAAAATTTGGGGGTGAGTTTTCCACTGCACAAAATCTCTAATTCATGGGTGTCCCGGGGAGGCACAAACTGCCTCTCTCTGTGCTCTCCCTTGTTCCTCAGCAGCAGCACTTTCAGAGATGCCGTTTCTGTCTGTGGAGTGCTTCCCCTTCCACCTAAACCGGAGATAATGGCACCTCCCGTCAGTGCAGTACAGACTGTACCCCTGTGCTCCGAGTAAGCCTTTCCAGCCAAGGAAGGGAGACCGCCTTTCCCCAGCTTTACAACCCCCTCAAGAAATCATGGCTTCTAGATCCCAAAATGAGCCTGGAGCCTTTGAAGTTGCCATTCTGTCTGGCCCTCACAGAGCAGAGCCCCAGGCTGCTGCTGCAGGTTTTTATCTTGCATATCAGCTCCTCCTACAATCAGGGCACGAGCTACCTTTTAGTCCTGATGCCTCTTTCACAATTCAGGTTTTGTGTGGACAGAAGTATAGGAGGCTTTCTCATCACATTTCCCTTAGGATCCTCTCGGAGGGAAATTGTTGCACAAAACTCTGAAAAGTTTCATGAGCTCAAAACATTTTTAAAAGATAAAAGTGCTTGTGAAATCTGAGACACACACATGCACCCCCGGCTCTCCCACCCCTGGGCCCAAGCCTTGGATTTTAATGTTTTTCTACATACTTTGATTTAAAAACAGACACTGCAGATGTTTGGGTTTTTTCCCCTCTGTTTGTCTGAGACGCTGTGCAGAGAAATTCATTTTTCTTCCATTTGGGCTAATCTGGGTGGATTTATTAACACCAGGTAGCAGCAATGAGGGAAACAAAGAGAGATCAGACAGCATAATCAATACAGAGATAATCAGCATCCCCCTTCCCAAACACACCCCGCTTTGGCAATGCTATTCTCAGTAGTGCAGATATTTGCTAGAAATGCTAGATATCAATGCTTGGAACTATTCCTCCACCCCCATTTCTCCTTTTTACTGAGTAATAAAACAATTTCAGAATCTTATCCCTTTTGATGGGTTTTAGGGGAGTTTGCAGGGGACGAGAATTGAGGCCCATTGGTATTGGGCATTGTAAATTAGTATGGATGATTATTTATTCATAACTAAACCAAGACACTCCTGCTCTATCTGATACACGCAAAGGACTGATTCAGAGTTTCTCTTTGGCCTAGATTTTTTGATGGCAGGCAGCCAGTCCTGGCTATTCTGGACCCTGTAATCATCAAAACCATCCTGGTGAAAGAGTGCTATACCCTCTTTACCAATCGCCGGGTAGGTATCCAGGATAAGCCTTTCCTATGCAGACCTGTGTGTGGGGTGGGAAGGCAGGGTTTCTCCTAGAGCAATGCAAACTTTCAGTAACATGGGCTGCTCACAGGACAGGCCTTGGGAGACAGGACACCTGCGTTCTATTCTCGGCTCTGCCACTGACTCACTGTGGGACCGTGGGCAAGTCACTTTCCATCTCTGTGCCTCAGTTTCCCCATTTATAAAATATATGTAATGATACCAACCTCACAGGGGGTTGTAAGGCCTGGTTGATTGATATTTGGAGTGCTTCAGTTCAAATATACTGTAGCATTGCACATAATTCATTGTTTCACCCACCAGGCAGGGAAAAGCCTTTGCTTCCATATTGCAGTAGTATGACAATGGGCCTGATCCTAGAGTTTCCTGGTGCAGGCAGCAGGGGTCCCATTCCTAAGGCGTTGTGGGCACGGTCAGAGTTCCATGTTCAGGACGATCATGTGAAGGTGCTGGTTGAAATCCTATGCACTGTATAAACAGGTACCTTTTACTTTATTCTCCCCATTTAGGTCTTTGGTCCAAGTGGAGATTTGGAGTCTGCCCTTACGGTAGCTACTGATGAGCAGTGGAAAAGGATCCGCACTGTGCTCTCTCCAACGTTCACCAGCGGGAAGCTAAAGGAGGTGAAGTCCAGATTACATTAATAGTTCCAGCTTGAGCCAGTGGCTTGAAGGCTATTTGGGTTTGGTGCCTCAATACAGAGCCACCTGGAAAATCATCCTGCTGTGCCACCCATCCCCTTGCCAGACTCATTTTCCAAAAGGGCCTCCGCCAAAAGCAACCATCCTTATGGGCATTTCAGCAACATGATGTTTTTTCAGTCAGGGTGAGGGTGGTGGGTTTTTCCCCATTCTGCCCCTCATCATAGCTTTCTCAGGAAGGAACTGACCTCTGGGGAATGAAATGGCTACATTCTCTTTCCAAGATTTGACATACTAGGGTATGGCAATCTGTTGCCAGGGATCCCACCATTGACCTGAGATTTCTTCTTGCTGATCCCTCTTCATGAAGAAGAAGGCAGCACAATGGGTAGATCTTCAGTCAGAGCGCTGGGGGGGCGATTCCCAGCTCGAGGAGATGTATTCCTGCCAGCTGTGATCCAGCTAGCATGCTAAAAATAGAGTGTGGCCATGGAAGCATGGGTGGCAAGACAGGTTAGCCACCCCAAGTGTGTATCCATCTGAGATAATAGGTACATACTCGGTCACTCTCACCGCCATGGCTTGTCACTCGCACACTATAGAATACCACCCCTCCTTTATCTTTCCGTAGGCTCAAGGCATAACGCCGGTTAATTTAGTCACCCCACCCTTACCCAGTTCCGAGGGCTCAGGGCGTAATCTTCTGCGGGTTTGTGGGGCCTTTTACCAGTGAAAGATCCTAACACAGTAATATCCTTAACCTCTATTTATTAACAGTTACCAAAACGCAATACACATACTAAGCATACGATGTTCACCACTCCCAATAAGGCAGATGAATTTTTCCTGCTGGCCAGTCAGGGTCAGGTCATCTGGGGCTCCAGCTTCTGCGTGATATAATTGGCTGGGTGTTGAGGTCTGGTAGCTCTGATTTTGGGCCATGTCCTGTAGTTAGGTTCCTAAGAACTTCCTTTTGGACCCCAGTTGATATAGTGAAACTTGAGTCCTGCTTAGCTGTACTGTAACCAATCATTTTAAACTAAAGTACTACCAAACAGTATTTTTCACCAATCACAGCCCATTACGAAACAATTCTTTAACCAATCACACCCCACCACCTTAGTTGATTTAAATCTTGTGAAATTAGTTATTCAACAGACAGAAACAATTAAAGAATCAGAGACCCTACAGATAAAGTTTACAAATGGTGAAGATCTAAATGAAACACTTCGATTTTGTCAAAATGAAACATTTTGTTCAACCCGAAATGAAATATGTTTTTCAACTGTTCGGTTTGCCAAAAATTAAAAAAAAAAAATCTCGTTTTCAGTTTGACCCAAAACAGTTTTTTCCCCCCGATTTTTGGGAATTGCCCCCAAACCAGAAGAAAACAATATTTGCCCAGCACTAAGGGTGGGTGCTTGACCGCTGGTGCCAAGGAACATCCGTCTCCCTTTCCACACTGTAGCCTGGAGGCGCACTACATGGATTTCTCAATCCTTTTCAGCTATGCTCTCCCTTCAGGGCAGACAGCTACAGAGTCTACTTGTGTCACTGATGGACAGCACCCTGTTGGCCTTTGCACCAGGTGCTGCTTTCTGGAGGGGAAGTTGGGTGTGTTGTCGGGGGGACGGGACCCTTTTTAGTTCACACCCAGATGATTCGGTGGACCAACTACAGAGATAAGAGCAACCCTGTTTTTTCCCAACCATGTCTGAGCCCTGGCTCTAATGATGCCCCTCTCAAACCAGAGTATTGATCATTATTAGGGGATAGCCAGCAAATAGCAAGGCTGAGCTACCTAGCGGTGACCCTGCCTCAGGAACCAGAAGGCGTCTGCAATGCCTTGTGCTTTGGTTTGCATTTCAGATGTTTCCTATCATGAATCGCTATGGAGAGATTTTAGTGAAAAATATCCAGGAGAAAGTGGATAACGATGAGTCCCTGGAAATGAAGAGGTGAGTAGCTTTGTTGCGCTGGCAGGAAAGAGCCTGTGTTCACAACAGGTGTGGAGAGCAAGTCTTGGGAGTTCATAAGGGAGCCCCAGCCCCAGAGTTTGGTTTGGCTCTAGCTTACCCTAAGCATGCTGCATTTCAGCTCTGTGAAGTATAGCTGAGTTGGAGGGGCCATGATAGCCTTCACACAGCATCTTCCACTCAAAATGTCCATCACACTGTAAAGATGAGTTTACTTTTATTTAAAATGCACATGGATATCCTGATGCTTCCACAATAGGAACCAGGCCCCCACAAAATGTTTCCACTTTTCTCCCCCACCTCTCCTGAGATGTGACATGAAGACAATCTCCATAACAGTCCTGCTCATGGCACGTTTCTCGGTTGCACGCTGCCCCTCTCTGCCCCGATCAGACCAGACCGGTACTACTCAGTACACTTCTGTGGTTTTGTCACTCTACTAGCTGTTGGGGGGTGAACGGGGGGGTGCAGAGTCTCGTTGGGGATGGGAGAAATCAGGCCTATCCTAGAAGTGTGACAAACTGCAGACGGGGAAAAAGCATTTTAAGGTTATTTTAACAGTCACTTTTACAGATGAGAGGTGTGTAACGATACTGGTTCTGGCGGGACCCAACTGAGAGTGCCAGTTCAGGACAAATTGCTTAAAGCAGGGCAGTTACAGCCCAAGGCTGGGGTTTCTGTGCACACCAAGGCAAATCAAACCAGCCAAACAGAGAAGACTTTGGTCTCACCCCACTGGCTAACCACAAGTCACACAAGCAATTCCCTTAGACACCCCAGTTTCCCAGTATCACCACCAGTGCCACTCGTTATGGGAACAAATGGTTAGGAAAACCAATACCCCAGTAAAAGGAAAAAGGTTCTCTCGATCCCAAAGGACCAAGCCCCAGACCCAGGTCAATATACAAATCAGATCTTACCCACAAATCACGCTGTTGCCAATCCTTTCGAATCTAAAATCGAAAGGTTTATTCATAAAAGGAAAAGATAGAGATGAGAGCTAGAATTGGTTAAATGGTATCAATTATATATAGTAATGGCAAAATTCTTGGTTCAGGCTTGCAGCAGTGATAGAATAAACTGCAGGTTCAAATCAAGTCTCTGGAGTACATCCACAGCTGGGATGGGTCTTTCAGTCCTTGGTTCAAAGCTTCAGAGTAGCAAAGTTCCTCCAGAGGTAAGAAGCAGGACTGAAAACAAGATGGGGGAGCTGCAGAAGCTTTTTAGATTCTCTTGCCATGTGGTCTTTCTTTCTTTGTTCCAAAGACAAGCTGTCCATCACATGGCATGGAAAAACCTCAGAGTTCTGTCCATAGGCATGTCCCTGCATACCTTGCTGAGTCACAAGGCGTCTCTGCCTTCTCTCAATGGGTCAGTTGTACAGCTGATGGTCCTTAATGGGCCATCAAGCAGGCTAGGCAGAGCTGACACCACTTCTCTGGAGTGTCACCCAGAAGCATAGCATAAGTTTCAAATACAGACAGTATAGAGCCAATATTCTTAACTTCAACTACAAAAATGATACACACATATAGACAGCATAATCATTGTCAGCAAACCATAACCTTGTCTTAGACACCTCATTTGCCACCCTTTATATAAGGCTTAGTGCCGCTACAGGACCTTGGTTGCAACAATGATCTATATGATCCCAGATTATGTCAATAACGTCACAAGCTTGCTCTGAAATGCTGATGGAATTTAGAGCTTGTTCTTTGCTATCGTGCACTGCAGTTCAGCTCCATACACCTACCGTCCAGTATGCTGGGCTCATAAAGAGAGAGATTGAGGGCAATTTAGTCATAAAGGGAACTGGCAAAAACTGGGGAAATGTGTCCTGTTCGTACCCAAAGTGGGGCAAAGACTTGATTTTGACAGGACCAAGGTGCCAGGGTTTGGGGGGTATTGAGTCCTTCAGAAGGGGAAGTTCTCTGTGCTGAGGATTCTCCCAGGGAGGATCCCCTTGTCCTGCTGAGTTCCTCGCATTCATTTTTTCCACCTCTCTCCTCAGCATCTTCGGCACCTACAGTTTGGACGTGGTGGCCAGCACTTCATTTAGTGTGAACATCGACTCCATGAACAACCCCAACGACCCCCTTGTCGCCTACATCAAGAAGTATCTCTCATTCAATTTCTTTAACCCACTGCTCCTGTTAGTAGGTATGAGGATCCTACACACCTAAAGACTCAGACTCCTAGATTAGTGCCTTAGGGCCTGTGTACCCTATCTCCCATCATCTCCTTTGGGATTTCAGGGTCCCCTTCACTTTTCAGGAGGTGCTCAGCCCCTTGTAAGATCAGGCCCTCCCTGACAGATTTGTAAAGATACTTATACAGAGAGATTCTCCCCCATTCCTTTGGCCAGCTCAGTCTGCAGCACCCAGGCAAAATAACTGGATACAGAGGTAAGAGGGAGAACTTTTATTCTCTTGGCAGGACAACTACACTGAATGTGGCACCACAGTTGGCTAAGTAGAGGGGTAAAAGTCAGGAGATTCTCAAGTGAAATTCCCACCCACGCCACAGCGGTGGACTCCTGTAATCCCTCTTGACCAGGGGTCTGAACTAGGTGAAATAAACTGGGAGTCACCAGTTGTCATTAGAGCCAGAAGCACCGGAAAAAGGTCATTTGGCAGGCTAGTTGTCCTTGGCGAGTTACCCGGACTCTGCCCACTCTCCCGCTGTGCCTTGGAGCACACATCCCACTGCAGCCCTCTTTGCTGAGCTGCAGCCTGTTAACCACGAGGGGAACTGTTTCCTTTCTCTCTTGTTCAGTGATGTTCCCCTTCCTGACACCAGTGCTGGATAAGATGAATGTGAGTCTGTTTCCCTCGGGCTTCCTGGACTTTTTCCTCAACATTATCCAGAGCATCAAGAAGGAGAGGCAGAAGAACGACCACTCGGTCAGTCTGGCCCACCTCGTCTTCCTTAGCATGCATGCGCTTGCTCTGAGAGTATGACTAAGCTGGAGATGTAATTTCCAGCTCCACGAAACAGACCCGTGCCAGCTCTGATGGAGCTTGTGTGCTAAAATTAGAAGTGTGGCGGCAATAGCTCAAACAGCAGGAAGGGCGAAGTGCCCCAAGTAGAATTCCATCTGAGATGCTCGGTACGTTCTCAGGTGGCTAGCCTCTCCCGCTGCTCATGCTGCTGCAGCTATGGTTCTATTTTCGTAAATAGCTGTGCTGAATGGAATTATTTCCTTTTTTCTTTTTGTAGCACACTAAGGTGCCAGATCGGTTATACATTGACCCGGGGGGCACAAGCCAAGCAAGAAGCCTGTCCCCGTCCGCCCCCACTCCCCCCGAAAGAGGGGGGGGGGAGAACCCCCCCCCCCCCCCCAGAAAACCCCCCCCCACCCCCGGAAGGGGTTCTGGGAGGGGGCCCCCCCCCCCCCCCCCCCTGTTCCGGGGCTATGGTTCTATTTTTAGCACGCTAATGCAGTCAGAACTAGCGCGGGTATGTCTCCTCACGCTGGAAATTGAGTAGTTCATACCCTGTATGGGGAAGGTTTCTGAGCCCATCCCCAGAGGCGACACTCCATACTAGCTCTCAGTTTGCCAAATTTGGGTGAGACTGGATAGGTGTCCTGCTCAGGCTTTCAGGAGAAGAAAATAATCCCCTTGCTCAAAATGGGTCTCCAACCTGCACCTTAAGGAGCCTCCTATCCACCATACTTTGAGGTCTTCCTTCGCATCCTCCTTATACTGCTGGACTGATGGAGGAACTGGGGCTGAAGCATCAGAGGGAAAGCCTGTGCTGGACTAGCCTTTCATTCCACCCACTGCTCCTCTGAGGGTGCACCTACACAGCACAGGAAGGTGTGATTATGCGCAGGTGAGCATAGCCCACACTAGCTTTAATTTAGTTAGCATGGGTAACAGTAGTGAAGATGTGGCAGCATGGGCTTCAGTGTAGGCTAGCAGCCCCAGTACAAGCATGCAGGGAACCCTGGGTATGTACTCAGGTTGCTAGCCTGCACTGAAGTCCCTGCCACCGTGTCTTTACTACTATTGTTACCTGTGCTAGCTAGATTAAAGCTAGCACAGGCATGCCTACCTGCACTGCAAGCACACCTTCCTTTGTGCTGTAGCTCTGCCCTGACTCTGTCCTTCCATCCCCAGGTCCGGGTGGATTTCCTGCAGCTGATGGTTCACTCACAGAGTTCAGATGGCAGCTCTGAATCTAATGAGAAGACACACTCCTATAAAGGTAAGGCTACAGGCCCCTCCTCCTCCCAGCCACTAGCTGGGATATTTCATATAGGGTTTTGGAGGGACGGAGTTTTAGTACACATCAGGAGAATGACCAGAAATTCCTTCCCTCCCACCCCCGCCAAAGCAAGTTCTGTGCTTTCCAGAAATCCATGCTGTGATCTGGATCTCTCTCAGAAATAGAGAAAGGGAATTGACAGCTGGAGTTTCAGAGATGCTGAGCACCCATAATCCCTACTGAAGCCAATGGGAGTTGTCAATTCTCAGCACTCTTGAGAATCAGGACAGTAATGATTTGTGCTGCATATGAAAAGGGATAGAATCAAACCTAATGAGCGAGGGGCAAATCCCGAGGCACTTAATCAACCAAACTGGAGATTTACCTGTGTGAAATCTGAGTCAAAGCCAGCAGGGCTAGATGACTCAGGAGTTGACCCTAGGTGCTCCAAGTTGCTATAATTTAAAAAAAAAATCCTTACTTCTCTACCCTTGTCTCTTGCCATATCCTCCCTTACTCTGCCAATGACTTTAGCCTTGATCACTCACTTGTCCGTCATTCCCATCGCTCTTTTCATCCTGTCTTCCTCTGCACATGGAACGCCCCCCCTGGAAAGCCAATAACTACTCTCCCTTCCTGTATGCCATTCCTCAAGACCCTGTAGAAGAAACTCAGCCAGCAGTAAAAGGGAGGCCAAGGGTAATCAAAGAGTTCCGATGTAGCTATTATATTTTAAAACAATTCATAATAAAGTATAAAAATGTGTGTCATATAAGTAAAATTTGGACATAGTGTGACAGGGTCAGGCCAGATGGCAACAGGAGAATGATTGAAGGTAGATATATTAGCCCCAGATTAAGCAGGTCCTCTTTCCCTGAGTAGGATAATGGACTGTTCCAGAACAATCAAGGAGGTTGCTGGACCCAATTAAGGCCAGCTAATTAGGACACCTGGAGCCAATTAAGAAGCTACCAGAATCAATTAGGACAGGCAGGCTAATCAGGGCACCTGGTTTTAAAAAGGACCTCACTTCAGTTAGTGAGGTGTGTGCCAGGAGCTGGGAGCAAGAGACGCAAGAAGCTGAGAATGAGAAGGCATACTGCTGGAGGACTGAGGAGTACAAGCGTTATCAGATATCAGGAGAAAGGTCTTGCGGTGAGGATAAAGAAGGAGTTGGGAGGAGGCCATGGGGAAGTCGCCCAGGGAGTTGTAGCTGTCACACAGTTGTTACAAGAGACACTGTAGACAGCTGCAATCCACAGGGCCCTGGGCTGGAACCCGAAGTAGAGGGCGGGCCCGGGTTCCCCCCATCCTCCTCAACTCCCTATTTAAGACAAGAAGAGGTGACCTGGATTGTTGGTCCCACAAGAGGGGAAGGACCCTGGCCTACCCCTGACCCACTAGGTGGGTCAGCAGAGACTGCGGGGATTGTTCTCCTCCCTTTCCCCATGCTCGACAGTGATGAGGTTATCTGAGTAAATGGCAGGTTTGAGCCACTAGCAAAAGTGGCCAGACTGAGGGTTGCCGTGAATCTCTGAGGCGAGCAAATCCGCCAATAAGCACAAGACCCACCAAGGCAGAAGAGGAACTTTGTCACAATAGCTTGATTTTATCCCTCTCCTTCTTCGTTTGTAAACTCTTTGGGTTTGTGTTTGTACAGCGCCTTGCACGATGGGGCCCTAATCCTGCTGTGGCCTCTGACACTGCTGCAGTAGAATTGTTAAATAATAATTATTGCAGAGTGCTGCCAGTGTGCTTAGCACAGTCCAAACCTTCCCTCAGGAGCTTGCAGCTCACCTCAGAGCCTAGGGGAGAGTGTCAGACATCTGTCCACCTATGAATATCTCTGTTGTGTTCTTATATTTTCAAACCCACTGTGGAGCAGGAGTGCAGTTCCACAAACCCTCTCCAGAGCAGGGTCTCTCCTACCCCTGCTCTTCAGGCTGCTGTGTTGCAGTGAATAAACTCAATGGGCCTGTTTCCCACCTCATGGACACGGATGTGACTCAGTTGATTTTAATGGAGTTACTCCTGATTTACAGCAGGGCGAGAGGGGAGTCAAGTCCACCACTTGCCGCTGTTGCTTATTGGATTCTAGAGGGGTTAACCCATGTCAGATGGACCTTTTTCTGTTGTGCTTAAATGATCAGCAAAGGAACTGTAGTAAATGGATGCCTGGGTAGGGCTCTCATCTGAGCTGGGCAGTGTATAGGAGGGAGGCTTTACCCTCCCTGTGTGCTTTCTTGCCTCTTTTTCCAGCTCTGTCTGACAAGGAGATTATGGCGCAGGCCCTTGTCTTTATCTTAGCTGGTTATGAGACCACCAGCTTCACCCTCAACTTCCTCTCATATAACCTGGCCACTCACCCCGACGTGCAGCAGAGACTGCAGGAGGAGATTGATGCCGCTCTTCCCAACAAGGTTAGAGGGGTTTGCAGTGCTCTGTGTCCAGCAGATGCACTCTAGTCGCTGCTGCGTGGGGGCTGAGCTGAACCTGGGTGGAAGGCGAAGCATCTGTTCTGTACACAGGAGGTTCCCCCCCCCCCCCCCCCCCCCCGGCCTCTTTCCCCCCCTTTTTTTTGGTCTTTTTTTCCCCCCCCCCCCCCCCCCCCCCCCCCCCCCCCCCTTTTGTTTTTTGGGGGGGGGCCCCCCCCTAGAAAAGAAAAAACGGGGGGGGGGCCGGGGAAAAAAAGACCCCCCTGGGGGGGGGGGGGGGAAAAAAACCCCCCCCCCAAAGAAAAAGGGGGGGCCCCGGGGGGGGGGGGGGGCGCCCCCCCCCCCGCGGGGCCGGGGGGGGCCGGCCGTCCCCACACCAGGGCTGTCAATCCTACACCATGCACCATTGTGACCTGGGCTTCCTTTGGCCATAGCAACCCAGTCTTTCGATAGCATCTGGGTGCATCAGGGAGTAGAGATGTCTAGGGAAGTTCCCTCGTGTGACCTGCCTGTCTGTGCCAGGGGGCACCTGGAATGGCGGGGCAGGACCAAAGATGGGGATTGAGGGGACCTCACTAGCCCCAGTTTAACCATTGGCATCCCCATGCTGCAGTATTTAAAGGAGCAGCCCTCTGGGTCAGCACTGTACCAGTACATCAGCCTCATGCTAGAGGGTGCTGTCCTGCTGGAGGTGGACAGGACAATTTGCCCCTGGGTCCCATGGTCATCCCGATTTGTTTAGCATGGCTACTGTGCATATATGCAGCCAGGCAAGCCCTGAGATGGCCTCCTCTGTACCTGAAAATCTGGTTCCCTCTGCCTTTCCCTCCCCAGGCTGCTCCCACCTATGATGCCATCCTGCAGATGGAGTATCTCGACATGGTAGTGAATGAAACCCTCAGGCTCTTCCCCGTAGGTGGGCGGATCGAAAGGGTCTGCAAGAAAACCATTGAGATAAACGGAGTGACCATTCCGAAAGGCACCGTAACAATGATCCCAGCCTACGTGCTGCATCAGGACTCGGAATACTGGCCAGAGCCAGAAGAGTTCAGGCCTGAGAGGTAAGGGCCAGGGAGGGGGAAGAAATGCTGCTTCCTCCTGAAGTGTGTGGGTGAAAATGGCAGCAAAGGTGGGGGAAGCGTGACTATAACATTTAAATGAGGCATTTATTAATGTCTGACGTCCAGTGCTGCCGTGCGGGGAGTTTTATGATCTACATCCATAAACTGTGCATGGAATTTAATGAACTGTATTGAAGAAAATGACACTGAAACCAGCTCTCAGCAGCTATAGCACTGAGGGGTTTATGGCCAGACATTAAAGCCAGAGCAATTGGGTGACTGGCACAGTGCCATGCAGATCAGCGATGGAAGGGCAAAGAGGTGTTGAAAATAAAATTTAATTTTCCAGTTCACATTATGAAATGTTCCCTGCTCAGGAATTACTGATGGGTCAGACCCTGAGAAATGAGGCAAGAATCTGATGGAATTAGGTGGCCTAACCCTCACTGGATTGCAAAAGGCCCAGCAGCCATTCCAAGTTGGCACAGAGAGCCAGGAATAATTGTCTCTCTCAGTAATGATATTAAGAGCTGATATTTATCTTGCAGTTTTCATGTGAAGAGCCCAAACTCTACAAACTATTGCAGACTAATCCCCAGTAATTGAAATGCACCCACCTCTGGAGTGAAACAGGGCAGCTGTTTAACAGTGCATGGCAGCACGGGGCCAAAGTTTAGGAGGAGACGTGAAGCATAACATGTCCAGCTGAACCTGCATGCGGAATCTTAGACAGACGAACTGTAATTACCCAATGGGATTTATGCACAGTGATGAGAACTGTGCTAGATGGCCAGCTCTGCTCTAGTATCAGATACATGGCTGGCAAGTGGTTCAACTGATGGAAGATAGCACCACTTTTCAATGGATAACGTAAAAATAACTAAAGAACTAGAAGTTCTCCTGCAAGTTACTCTGAAGTCAACTTAACCTCTTTGCGATGAGCTCCAAACAGCTCTCCCAAGCTAGCCATGGTAGGGCCACCTCAGCAGTTGGATGGGCGAGAGCCAACGAACACCTGCCATTGTGTGTGTGCGCTCTGGGAAGTAGTGTTGGGAATTCAGCAGGTGGAACACGATCCTCTGGGTCAGCATTGCACCTGTACCTCACACTGAAGCTAGAGCGCTGGCCTTCTGCAGGTACTGTTGGTTCAGATGCAGAGTAAAATAGAAATTTTGTCCACTTGTGGTGATTAATGTTCCCGTGCTGCTTTTCATAAGAGTATGGGTATTCTGGCTAAAGTCCAGCCTGGGGTATAATAATCTACCTTGCCTACATTTCCCCATTACAGTTAGATAGAGTATTCTTCTTCACTTCCTCGTCTAACCGTTTGTGTAGTGTTGTTGTATGCCATGAAACAGCTGCTCCATTCTACCCCAGAGTCTGTATTTCAATGGTGATTGTCGTGATCCTTACCTAGTTTGTAGATCCATTAAAATCTGTGAAGTACTTTGGCATGGAAAGTGCTATAAAAATATAAGTTGTCATTTTGACTTAGGATTATTGAAATGTTTCACTGGCAAAGCTCTTTTATTTTACAGATCTTGTCTGGTTTGCAGCACAAAGAAAGAATATGTCTTCTCTTCTGAGCGGCATGTCTCAAAAGCTAGCTCTTGTGCAGACCGGACAGGGAGAGACACTTGCTCAGTTTGTCCATTTACTTGTATAAGAAGAAGATCTAGAGCTGTTTTTTGTGATATGGACTCTGGGTTTAGTTTCTGGGATGAGAGGAATTTCAACTTGAGTTCTGAGAAGAGTTCCCATGAAATCACAAGTATATTCTCGGACTTCCTGCTCATTTGAAAGCCCTGGAGATGTACAGCTAATTCTAGGCACCAGCATGGAAGGGGGTGGGAGGGTGTTGTACGGTGAGGGAGGAACAAGGAAAATAGATAAGTTCTGATTGAAATATGCAAAACAGGCCTTTGCCTCCTCCCAATCCATTGAGCATGCCAAATCCAACAAAGAGGACAGGTCCTGAGACAGTAGTTTCTCCTAACTTGTTTCTTCTTTTCTCTGATTGGAACCAGGTTCAGTAAAGAGAACAGAGAGAGCATGGACCCCTACATTTTCCTGCCCTTTGGAGCTGGTCCCAGGAACTGCATTGGAATGAGGTTTGCCCTTCTCAGCCTGAAAGTGGCCATGATTGTGCTGTTGCAAAGGTTTTCCTTCAGAACCTGCAAAGACACCCCGGTGAGAATCCATCCTTGTATCTGTATTGTTTGTTTTACTACCTGTGATGGTCTTCGCTCGTGGGGAGCGTTGCCTAGTGGCTGGGGCTTAGGCCCTTCATCCTGCAGAGGGGATTTTGATAGGGGACCCCAGCCCCTCCCACCTCACCAGGCTCTGGCCCAGGGCCCTGTGAGGGCGACACCGGGCTCCAACACCCAGAAGAGCCTTAAGTCAACCCTCCCTAGGTCACCCCTCTATTGTCCGCAGTTAGCACTCTGTACCAATAAACTGAGTCCACATGGGAGAGGGGGAATGGCTCCCACTCAGGGTGCCCCTGGCGCAGATCCCTACCTTCCCTCAGCTCTTCCCTCAGGAGCTGCGAGTTGCGGGTCTGCTCTCTTCCTTGCTCTGCCCCTGAGCTGTTCTGCTCCCACCTCCTCCAGCCTGTGCATCTCTTATATGCATGGTAGGGCAGGGCAAGCTGAGTCCAGAACAGCTCCTTAACCCCTTGTTGCCCAACATAGGGTTTGTATACCCCGTCGCACGACCATAGTCTCGTTGAGATAATCACATGCGCACATTGTCACCTGTGTCTCAGAACAGATGGGGCACTGTGTCTCTCACGCACATAATCCCTTTCCCCATTCAGAGGCTGATAGATTCTGGAGCACTGAACCTGGTAGGCAGAGTTGGTTTTACGTTCACACTACGAAAGCAGGAAGGTTTCACCGTGGATTAGAGGCATGTGGTGGTGTTTGGGGTTTTTTTTGTTTGTTACCATGGTTATTTGGGTTATTTGTTACATGGTTATATTGAGTCTAAAAGGACCCCAAGACTGTGAGCTGATTAAGGGTACATCTACATCTACTCATTAAAAATATACCCACAGCAGCGAGTCTCACAGTCCGTGTCTAAAGAAGGGTTTACGGCACTAAAAAGAGCCAAGTAGACAGTCCTGCTCAGGCTCTGAAGCCAGAGACGGGGGTGGGTTTCAGATCCTGAGCTCCAGCCCGAGTGGGAACCTCTACATGGCTATTTTTAGGACCATACACTCACTGGTGCATCTCACTGACAGGAAGTTTCTCCGGCTATTCAGTCTGATAATCCTTTCTTAGTTTTGTTCCATTACTCCTGTATGTCACACACAATACCTCTCCCTCCTCAGTGTTTACACTCATCAACTTTTAACAGAGTGGTACCATGTCTCTGCTTAGTCATTGCTCAGCCAAGCTTGACAGATTTACCTCGTGAAACCTTTCCTTGTATGTCCAGTTCCCTCATCAGTTGTGTGGTTCTCATTGAGCTCCTCCCAATATATCAGTATCTTGGGGGGGGGGGGCAGAATTGAAGCAATATTGCTCCTGCTACTGGAGAACATTATACCTGTACTGCACCCTTCTCACTGGACCTGTAGCAACTTATTTGGCAACAGTGGGCTCATGCAATAGGTCAGAAAAATGCAAATGAGTGAAAGCAAAGGGTGTGAGACATGAGTGGACGCTTTGTAGGGTATGTCCACACTTCATATTCATGTTAGCACTCTCTGAGCTTGCATGCTAAAAATAGAGTGTAGCCTCTCTGAGTGCGTGTCCGTCAGAGACCCGAGGTATGTACTCGGGGCAGTTAGCCCCTCCTGCTGTTCATGCTGCCATGGCTACCTTTTATTTTTTGCATGCTAGCTCGATGACAGCTAGCGCCTGTATGTCTACTCAAGCTGTGAATCATAATCCCAAACCGACATGTAGACATTCCCAGGGTGTTGGGCTTTTGTCAGAAGGAATATAATGTCTGCTGTGTCCCTCACTAGCTCCCCACATTCACTGGCTTTCTTTTCATTTTTCTCTACAAATGGTGAAGATCCCTCTGGTGATGGACACAAAGGGTTTCTTGCAACCCAAGAAGCCAGTCATTCTGAAGATGGTCCCCAGAACCCATGTCGATCCAGAGGAGTAAAACAATTTGCAACGGATCAGAGGCTGCTGCCACCTGCTCCTTCCGCCTCATTCGTCTCTCTATCAATCACATGAGAATAGGAATGAGCCATGTAAAACTGTACAGGGAAAGCAAAAGCAATATCTAGAAAAAGCCCCAGCTGTCATGAAAGCAGGGCCTTGTGACTATACAGCATACCAAATTTGATGGGCCCTTCTGTCCAATAGGAGATTGTGCATAGCTTTTCTACCAAAAAACCCCACACAAAGTACAGGCTGAGCAGAGTTCAATTTTTATAAAGCAATAATAGAGACCCAGGCCTGTTTCTCATTGATACCAAGACCCCTTTACGCTGTTCGGACAATGTAAAGGGACCTTTAAGGGTATGCACCCGCTTTCAGGCCCCCTTACACTGCCAGAGCAGGGTTTAGCATAAATGAGAATCAGGCCTCGGGCACTGGGACAAAAACTGTGTCACCTCCCATCTGGCTAGACTCATCCGAAGTTGAGGTTGTTATGACTCCATATAAAAATCACATGCCCCAGGGTATTTTACACTGCCACATGGGTAGACGTACCTGAGCTAGCTTTAATGCTATGGACACTACAGTGGCATAGCTGCAGCGACACCACTGTAGCATCATAATGTAGATGCTTCTGACATCAATGGAAGGGGGTTTTCTGTAGGAATGTAGGAGGTAATCCACCTCCCTGAGAGGGAGTGCAGCTGAAGCCTGACATAAGTATTTAATACATGGGCAGGGGGGAGGCCTCATTTTTTGGAAGACAGCATTAGGAAGGTAAATGAATCATCAGGCTGAAAACAGGACCTTTGTGCTAAATACGATAAGTAAATAGGGTAGTAGGCTGAAAAGACAGAATGTCAGAGCCAGCGAAGAGAAGAGGGAGAACACCCCGGGGACTATTTACTATGAACTAGATAGCAAGGGACCAAATAAGTTAGGAATGTAGAGATGAGGTAAGAGGAAGTCAAAACAAAGGCAGCATGTGGACAGATGCACACGGTCCAGGGGTTGGTCTCGGAGGGAGCTAGGTTGATGAAGGAATTCTTCCATCTGCCAAGCCAGGTCTACGCTGGAGGTTAGGATGGCTTAACCATCGTGCTCAGGGGTGCTCGGGAATTTTTCACACCCCTGAGCTCCATAGCTAGGTCGATCTACCTATTAAGTGTAAACCAGGTGTCAGACGTCAAAGAGCCTGCTGGCCTCAATGGCTATGTCATCTGTTGCTACAGTAGCACTGTCTCTGTCGCTGCATCAGAGGTTTCTGCTTGTTTGAAAGACTCTTTGGTGTTGTTTCTGACCCTAGTCCAAAGTCACTGCCAGCCTTCTGGGCAATCTGATGCTTTAGAAGGAGAGGTCAGGATGATGCTGGGTCAGGTGGGTCTCTCTCTCTCTCTTAGTGCCGGTCAGAGTGGTGAGGTTTCCTTTCATACATTCCCCTTACTGAGGCTTTGCTTCTGCTTGGTTGCTTCACACCAGTGGAGCCACACATTGCAACCCCCTCAGAGCAGATGCTGTAGAGTGGGATAAAACAGGGCTTGGAACTTTACTGGGATAAGCTGCATTGATGCCAACCCCATTTTGCAGAAGTGCAGTGTGCCCACACTAAGGGTTTGCCCCTATGTAAATACATCAGTGCTATACCGGTGCAAATTACCCTAGTCTAGGTGAGCCCTGAGTACCCCTCGTATCATGACCATCACCCTTTTTGCTGAGCACTGCCTTTGAGACACCAGCAGCACTGCTAGGTTCAGGTACTTTTATGAAGCTTTTTGGATATTGGACCCTGCTCAGCAATTTTATTCAGACATTGTCAGTTTCTTCTTGCACTTTAATTGAAATCAAAGTGTAGAGCAAATTGCCCATATGTGACTGTTGCTGCCTATTTTGTCCCCATTCCTATTTCTTGCCAAGTTGGCCCTATCTGTTTTCTGGTTTTACAACCCCAGCTGGGTGGTGACATCCAGGGCTATTTTCCTGGATCATGTGATGCTGCAGCATTATGGCTCTGTCAGGTGTTAAAGTGACCATACCCTTGCAGGCAGTGATGCATGTGACAAATTTCTAGAGCTGACTTAGCTAGATTCTCGTATGTTTTTGGGTGGCTGTTATTACTAAAGATTTGTAACATGCCTCAGCTTGCAGATGAGTTAACCTGAGCAGCCTAGGTATAAGCAGTTACCATTTATGAGCAGTGGTTTGCAGAGTGGGAGTGAAGCATATTATGTGTTCTTTCTGTTTGTTTGCTTATTGTATCCAGTGGTCTCCTGTGTAATATCTTTACACAGATATTAGCCCAGTTATGATTTTTTAACTTTGTTCTCTATGATTCCATTTTATAACTTTGATTTGAATTGTAGGAATACGGCAAGGTGCAGCGCTGGGAAAGACATGGGTTTGGAAGAAGGATGTCTCTCTCTGTTGGATACTGAGAGCAGAGAAGGCTCACTGGACCTTGTCATTCTTAGATTCCAAATGAGCATAATGCTGAATGCTCTGTATAATATGTGGTGTGATTTCATATTTACTAATCCAAAAAGTACTAATAGAAGGATAATTAAAATAAAAAACATAATTCCTTATCATTTGCACTGAGATGATGCCAACATCTGATTCCACTCCCCCCTCTTCCACACACAAATCAATCCTTTTCCAGGGCACTGGAGCCAGTGTCCGTGCAGTTCACAGAATCTCGTTACATCTCCCAAACTCCGCAGGGTTGGGCTTTGTCATTAGCTAGATGGGAGACTTCTAGGGAAATCCCAGGTGATGCAGGGAAGTTACATTAATGACTGAGGTGGGGACCCTCTTCCCTCTGAGTCAGGAATGAGCAAATACCCCAGTATGAATCAATGAACTACTGGAGGTGCCATCTTTTAAATGAGATGTAAAACCGAGCTCTTGACTTTCTGAGATCTCATCCCTTGGCACTTTCCACAAGAGTACAGTGTTCTAATTATTGTATCCTTTCCAACTTGTAAATTAGCTCAGCATATTCTGTGATATAATACATTTCACGTCCTTTTATAAAATTTATGGTACGTTATTTCTATGCACTATTTAACAGCTGCCACGGTTTTCCCTAAAAATGGCTGAATTTCAGGGTGGGAGAAGTGATTTCCATATATGCTTTACAATCTGTACCATTTGCGATGCACTTAGGGATTCCTGTGTGATGGAAAATCATTATTATAATCAATCTTTACTGCAGAACACAAAGCATTATAGCATTATGTCAGCAGCAGGAAGAGCCACTTCTGGCTGCAGCTTAGAAACGCAGATCCTAAAATTGGATACTTCTGAATCCTATTAACCAACAGAAGTATACCAATCCTTCAGAAAAGGCTGCATAAAGCTCTGGAGACTGTCTAAATGGCTTTTATACCAACCATCAATTTTTGGAGCTTTCTTCTACTATTGCGTAGTGGCTGGCTGTACAGGAACACACGTCATTTTCTCGATACTTGTATCCTTGTGGAATTTGGTAAAACACTACATTCGGGAAACATAACATGCTTTCTATACAGGATGACATTCCCAATATAGGGCTTTCCTTACCTAAAGGGAGATAGAGGAGGATTTTTTTTTTTAAATTTTGGGGAGCCAGCTATGAACTGGGAGAGAGAACACTGAAAGTGCAGACGTGGATTCTGACGTCTGAGGTTACTGCTTCCACCTTTTGTTTCATAATCCTCAGTGCTGCAGCTTCCTGCTGCTGCTTCTACCTGAGAGCAACCCCCTTTACATATTTTAAGCTCTTTCTCTCCTCTCTCTTAAATATAAGGCACATGCAGCTAGACCAGGAAACATTGAGAGGGAGCCCAAGCAAGGCTCAGCCCTCTGAAGGAAGAGCCAAAAGGGGGAATCCACTGACTCTGTGGTGCCAAGGCTCAGGAGGTTTTCTGGTCCCTGTCTTGAGAGGTGCCCCAGTCTGTCAGATGGAACAGTAGCAGGACCCAGTATTGCAGTTCAGGAATCACAGCTATGAATTCATAACTCAGCTGTATTTTGCTGTCTGCTGCACAGAAAGCCACGTCCCAACCAACCATGTTCAGCTACATGTCCAACATCTTTCAAAGGGGCTTTGAGAACAGCAAAGGCGCTCTCCGCTCACTCCATTGCTATATTGAGTTAAGTCACATGTCTCACAACTAAGCCAAACACACTCATATGTATAAAGTACAACCTTACTGATAAGATCTCTCAGGATAGTCACTTTCTCTCTCTCTCTCTCAAGCAAAGCATTGCAACAACATGGTAATATTAGTAATAAACAGTTTACTTTTCTGGCAGTGTCAAAGGAGTTCAGCCACTCTGATCGCCATTCAGAGCTGTGTTTGTACCTGACAACTTGATCCTGCATCATTTCCGCTGATTCAGCTTACAGTTTCCACAGTTTTGTTGATGCAGCACAGCTCTACACATGGAGAATTGGATGGTGAAACTCACTCCACTCTGTCTCTTGGTCACAGTGCATTTACACTGAATTCAAACGATGTAATAACTGAACTGCTGATACATGTGGCAAGCTTTAGACTGAATTCAACAGGCTTTAAGAATAAAACTGCAATCACAGGATGTTACCCTCTGACAGCTGCTGGGGCTTATGTGAAATGACTCCGTGGTCTCACCCAAGTTAGTTCTCAACAGACGTGTTTATATCACACAACCAGCAGCAGTCAGCTTGCTGAAGGCAAACAGGGTGTAACCGTGCCTCAATGGGTCACAACCGAGAATGCCAAAGTCAGGCCAAAGTGCTGAGAAATAGGGCCAATATACCCCAAGACTGGTGGTTAATACTCCATAGGATATACCAAACCAGCCACAAAAGTAAACGTCTGTTTCACCACAGTGGCTAACAAGAAGTCAGGAAAGTAGTTTCCTTAGGTATTCCAGTCCTTGTATCCCCATCAAAAACATTGGATTTAAAGTTGAGTGGTTCTTTAAAGCAGTCGCATCAAACAAAAGGTTCTTCTGATCCCAAAGGACCAGCCACACACCCAGGTCAATATAATACTTAGATCTTACCCAAAAATCCCACTGATGCCAATCCTTTAGTATCGAAAGAAAGAAAGAAAGAAAGAAAGAAAGATGAGAGTTAAAATTGTTTAAAGGAATCAAATACATACAACAATTTCAAAGTTCTTGGTTCAGGCTTGTAGCCGTGGTGGAATAAACTGCTGGCTTAAGTCAAGTCTCTGGTTGCTTCCAGATCGTTGGAAGATCCTCAGTCCCTTGGTTAGAATGCTTCCATTAGCATAAATCCAGAGGCCTGAGCAGGAAGGAGGCTGGAGCAGGAAAGAGGCAAAATGGAAGTGTTTTCAGGGCCTTTTATAGCTTCTGCCATGTGGAGGGAAACCCATTGTTTCAAACAAAGCCCTCAGGCCAGCTAGTGGAAAATTACAGGTAAAAAATGGATTTTGGAGTCACATAGGCGAGTCACATGTCCATGCATGACTTCACTTAGTCATGGCAGAAGTCATAACCTATACCTCAAAAAGCATGTTCACAGGAAAGTCCATTCAGGGTAGGTGGGTGTCTCCCATTGTGAGTTAAATGTTCTTTTGATGGGCCACTCAATTTGAATAGTTGCTCCAAGATGTGCTGGCTAGCTACCTTGTGGGCATTACCCCAGGAGCAAACATTTGAAATCCAGGTACAGGGCCAACGCTCATAACTTCAAATACAAAAATGTTACATGCATACAAATAGCATAGGCATATTCAGCAAATCATAGCCTTTCCATAGACACCTTACTTCACAACCTTTGTACCATATTTGTTGCAATTATATAACAGTGGTAGCAACAATTATGGACATGGTCATAGGTTAATCAAACAACGTCACACAGGGTAAAGATTGAATGAGACAGAACCTGAATTGCCTGATCAAGTGATCTGTCCAAGGCAATATTCAGGCAGCATGGGGTAAATCTGCACCTACTGTGCCTATTCTCTGGATAAACAGAAGACTTCCATTTCCAGTGCTGGCACCTGCCACACACAATAAACTCCTGTCAAACTAACATAAAGGTCACAGTGCAAGAATAAATTCCATACTGTCGCTTTTTGTCATTCAAACTTTTGTCACTGGGGGGGCACGTTTTCACACCCTTGACCTACAAAAGTTTTAAGGATGGAAGTGCAGTGTAGATAAGGTCTCACACGCTTCCAGGGACTCACATGATATTGTTGAGTTATTCAAATAGGTTTAGGCCAAAGTATAAGTGTGGGATTCAACTTGGAAACAGGCATGTAAGTACTTCTGGATTACGGTGCAGAATATAGGCTGGAATTGCTGCTAACGTCCCTAGAGCTAGGATGAGAATCCCGGTCTCCTGATTCCTAGACCCGTGCTTCCTATTGTAAAATCAGTCTCTAACATCCTGCAGTTAGCCCATCCCATGTAAACATCCAATTACTCCTTCCTTGAAGCACATTTATATGGTTTTCTGTACAGGCTGAAGCCCGTGTAAAAATAGTTTGATCGTTCATTTCTAACTGACACTCTTTAATGCCCTATAGGGATAATGTAAACCTGTCTGACAAGTTACAGTGGAGTGTACAACGTTAAGTAAAATACGGCTTCTTTAACCACTTTTTTACTGTTTACGTAAACATGTCGGTTGAATGTCATATGTCAGAGTTCTACTTCTGATTGAAGGCAAAGGCAAATAGCTATGTATTCCACCATCACACCCAGCACACAGCTGCTTGCAATTAAATTACTGGAAAATCCTAACATGTCAGGATGGAAAATACTTGTTAGATCAGAGCTACCAAGTCCTCCTGACACTATAGGGTTGGTCCCTACAGTATAATCTCAAATGTTTAATCCTGGCTAGTTTCATATGTACCAGCAGTGGGCCTTCCATCACCTCTTTGGTGGACTGTTCCATAGGGAGGCCCTGCTCTTCCTTATAGCATGGAATACAGACCTTACCAATAAGATTAATGGATGTAATAACTTACAAACATTCTACAGAATCTAAACACTGAATACATTCTTATAAGACTAATACCTACTTTGAGCAACACTAACACGTAAGTGATCTGGTTTCCAGCTATGAGTTTGTCAGTTCTTAGCTAATGCCTGTAGCCTGGCAAGAGCTGGCACTTGGCCTGCCAGTGTCACATAACTGACAAGTATTGTTAGTTGATACTATTAAAGTCATCATTTGACAATATCAAGACCACATGTAATTCCTTGCCCGGCTGGTTTTCAATAAGAAAAGGGAGACATACTAATAATCCAAAATGAAAAATGAATTAAAGGCATCAAATTTCTTATCTTCTTAATCTGCTTAACAAAGGGATGACTGGGGTTGATCACTGAGTCAGTAACAGAGGGGTAGCCATATTAGTCATATTAGCCAAATTAGTGGGATTTTTACCCACAAAAGCTTATGCCTAAATAAATATGGTAGTCTTTAAGGTGCCACCAGACTCCTCATTGTTTCACTGAGTCAGTGTTTACAGTAAAGGAGGTAATGACATCTATAGCCAAGCTGCAAGGTCCAAAGGTGCTACAAAGAGAAAGAAAATGGAAGAAAGAGTGATGTCTTGCTGGGGTGTTAAGGCTACTTCACCAC